GGAATGATCCAAACAAACCGTCGACAACTGACACCCCCTTTTGGTCACGTATTCTGGCAGCCTGAACTCAAGAAACCGTTTCCTACATGAACCACCACCCTGTTATCCACTAACAGGAACTCCACAAATCGGGATTTCAAGCAACTAGTCGACGTGGCGTATGCTGAAGCGTCTAAGAACCGATGTAGCACCGACCAAGTCGACCAACATTTTTAAATCCGCTGAACGGGAGTGATGAAAAATGTGACTGAGAACTGTGACATGCAACCAACTGGCATCGGACACAGAAACAGACAGCCAGAAACTATAGTTTTCCGGACACGTAAAAGTAGCGCAAATGGGCTACTTTTACGTGTATATGCGATAGATCATGCCTATGCGTCTCCCATCCATTTTTATTTTGTTTTTCTTTCTTACTGCCTCCAGGAATTGGCAACTCAGTTATGCTTCGTATTGCGTGATTATCAATGTATCATGTCAATGTTAAACGTGTCATAACTATCATAACCTATGTATATTATACCCCATTTTGGCATCAATTGTTGATATCACTAAAGTTCCCCTAATGTTTTTTATATTCGTTAAGTGCTGTCCCTTTTAAGACTTAGCTATTATTAAGGTTACCTTTACCTATAATACTGCTTTTGTAAACAACTCAACAGAGTTACAAATGTATCATGTTCGCAAATTATTTAGCCAGGATATACGTCTTTTTATGCTTCTTTTGTAAAGTATCTTTCCCTGTATAATGATCTGCAACAAGACATATCTCTGTCCTCTCATAACGTTAGGTACTGCAACTTCCTTAGTTTAATTGTTCTCAAAACGTCCTCCTTTTAATTCTTCTCAAAACGTCGTTGTTCGTAACCTTATCCACACAGCTTATTTTTAACGTTATCCTGTATGTCCGTCCACATTTCAAACTTTTCTATTCTATTGCTAAGGATCTTTTTTAAGCGCCCATTGCTGCAAGGTACTTTTCATAGCATATTATTAAATTAATGTTGGTCTGGCTTTTCCTATTATTGATTTGTTTTTTTTTTGAGTATTGTGAAGTTTATTTTATTTTATTATTTCCACTTATTTTAATTAATTTACAGTTTGCTTACACTAACACTAAAACCAAAATTAATTTACAACATTAATTTACTTCACGCTACAAATGTATTTTTTAGACTAACACTCTACAATTATAATTTCTCTATATACGCCCGTTCATCTTTTGAACGAGTTCTCCCTTAATCATTCATCTCTTTTTTTGTTGTGTCTTTGCAATGGCCATGGATTTCGTCTTCTTAATATTTAAAGTTAGTACTTCCTATTCGCTACTATCCTCAATCATATCCATCAGAAATTGCAATTCTTCATCCTACTCTACGAATGTTGACGTATCAACCACGCGTGTCTGATATTATTGATAGGTTCTCAATTGACCTTATCGTTTATTTTAGTGATTCCTCAACTACAGCTTCTGACTAGAGGTTAAAGAGCAGCGGAGAAAGTTGCACCCCTGCCTTACCCCTCATTGTATCACTATTTTACTGACAGTTTGTTGCCAACCTTTAGAGAATATTCGAGAATAAATGTAATTAAAATTCAGACTCGATATTATTCTGATGTCTGCTATTCTGATGTCTTTCATATCCAGATTTTTAGGACGTGGAAATTATTCAGAATTTAAGTAGTTATTTAAATATTATTTTGGCGTGGTAAATTCACCTTGTATCTTCTCTCGTCAGTTGCATGAGGTACATCTATTGTAGGCAATGCTCCGAGGACAGTATTTGTTGACACATTTGAATTCTATTTCTACCGTGACCAACTTATTCTTAGTGGACATTGCTCAAGCTTTTGTTATAGAGTGAGCATCGAGCACATTGTCTCCAAGATCCATTACCAACCTTTAACCATCCTCTTCACCTTATGTCTATACATATTGTTAATAATTATAAATATTAAATTTACTCAAGTATTGAGTTGAGCATATTTAAATGTATCTGATTTGAAATAAGATATAAAAACTAATGGTTCAAAAGAAAAATCATCAAACCGAGACATATTTCTGAGGATTAGAAAATAAAAAGCTTATATTGAACATGCCAATGTTAGTTATTGCCACTTTTCTTCTGACAAAAAGATTTTTTGTCGGTATTTTCCAGATTTTATCCATTTAGTTAGTCGGGAGAGACAGGTCGAGATCAACGGACTTATTTTAATAGAGTAGTGATTATAATGGCGCATTTCGTTTATAGCTCGTCCCGCTACTGGACTGTTTTTGTGTTCTTATCGGAGTTAGATATATATTTTGACGGCGGGACTAGATTGGGGATAGGGACCTGGGATTTTAAAGAAGTCTGAAGTCTGTCGTCATGGCAGCAGACAGAAGGGGTAAACGTACAAGTAATTGTACAAATTTTCGTAGTTTGTTGGCTGAATCGGTAAATTTTGTTAGGCGTGATAAATCTTTCGGCATATATGAATATACAATTTTGTTTACATTATTTACTTTCTATGATAAACATGTCGCTGTAAAATTTCGTTTAATTTTTAATTTGGAAATTATTATGCACTTGTTATAATTTCGTAGAATCATCTTTTATTAATTCACATATATGATAGATTTGATAGTAAAGTCCGATCCATTAATTAGTCTGCGTTTTACAGTGCGTCAAATGTTTTGATCTCTTTTCAATGGCGCTACAGCACAAATTGAACCTTAGCCTCTTGTAATTTCTGCCTGCATTGTAGGCTACCATATATTGCTGCCTTTAAGTTTTGCAGTCCATACAGCTTTGCACCTCTGGTGCTATTGCACTCTTTTATTTTTTTCGATGACCTTTGATGACGATGACGCATTATATCCTCATCCATCCGCACTATATGACCAGCCCACCGAAGTCATGGTTTCGCTAGCGAGAAGTAGGCTTCTTCTGCTTTGTGTGTCTTGCCTTGCCTCCCTGACGTTGTCAATATTCGTCATGATTCGTCACTTATTTTCTACCAACTCCTCTTCTTCTTTCTATCTTGTCTTTTGATGCATCAGTTTTTCTCCAGCTGTTTTTTTTTTGTTTATTAATGATTGTATTTGATTCTCAAGATTATTCTTCTATATTTCATTTGTAAATGATCAAATCAAGAATATGCTAGCCTTCGTTTTTTTTTGCCGATTGGTTTATCAGGTCGTGAGCCGTTTGGTCGGCGATTGCTGCACAAGGCAAGATTGTTGCTGATTGATTGATAGCTGGAGGAAAAATACATATACCTTGGGCAGCCTATGGAAAACTCAAAGACATTTTTAAAAGCGATATACCAATTTCTTTAAAACGTAAAACATTTGACCAATGTGTGTTGCCTGTGATGACCTATGGTGCCGAAACTTTGACGTTGACAGCTACAACATTGACAATATGTCAAGAAATTTGATGAAAAGTGCTCAAGATAGAGCACAATGGACAAAAATGAGAGAGGCCTATATCCAGCAGTAGACGCAAAGAATTGGGTGGTAATGATGATGATTAATGTTATTATTTGTAACGGCTAGCTCACCCATTGCACATTGAAACCCCTCAGGGGTGATGTTCGGCATAAACTAACTTAATTTGAGAAATCGGGAATTATTAATAAAATAATTTCTTTAACACATATCTTTATTTATTTATATTTTAATAAATCAAAATGTAATAACAATTAAATTGAGGTTCTAACAACAGGGAATTAAGCATCTATATACAAAATCTCAAGAAATAAAGAAACTTAGCTCTACTCTATGAGAAATCCTCCTGCTGTTCTCTTCTCAACTCGGACCATACAATGTCTGCAAAAACCATGCCGCTAAGCCGAAACCATGTGGATCCCTCTCCAATCCAAAGCCATGCGGATTTTCAAAATCGAGATGGATTTCTTATTCCAAAAAAAAAACAATTCCATTTTCGTATTCTTCAACCAAAAATCCATGTCAACGTAATTTTTCTTATATCATAATCAAGGTGGATTTTCTTGAATAAAAATTAAGGTGGATTCTCTTGAATAAAATCCAAGGTGGATTCTCTTGAATAAAAAACAAGGTGGCTAAAAAAACAAAAACCGCTACAAAATTCGTCATGGCACGAGTTTTGTCCAACAACAGAAGAATTCTGCCAAGCGGAAAGCTCTTCTCTCTGAGGCCTGTATACCGATCCAGAATTCTCTGATGTTGCCAAAACTCACAAATTAATAATTGTAATTAATAGATAAATTATTAAATGAAAAATGAAAAAGACAAAGTTGTGCGATAAATACGATTTATATTGAATTATTATTATTACAGCAAAGGTAAAAAGAAAATAAAAATTGTAAGCAGTTTTTAAGTACTAGCGTACACAAAATTATACGAAAAACTAAAAGAGTTCTTGATTAAAGTATGAAAATATGTTGTTGTAAAAAGAGCAAAGTATTAACTTACCCAGACCGTTGGAAGTTTCTGACCACGAGGACTTATTTTTTTAATAATACCTTCTCGTTTGCTGGTTTATTTCAAAAAGAAATTAAATCGGATCGGATTGATAGAAGTAAATTATTTAGGAGTGGGGTTTCTGTTTCTTGTACGATAAAGTAAGCGAAGGTAGGACTACGAGGGGACTTAAGAAATTAATCAGCGGATTTATTTGTAATAGGAAAATATTGAAATAAAATACAGGAATACAAACAAAGGAAAAAGAACTTATTATCAATGAAAATCAAATAGTATGAGCAGAAAATAGTGGAAAGTACTTTGAAATTAATAAGAACAAAAATGTAACGTTTTAAACGTTACATATTATCATCCACAAGGCATAAATAGTTTAATTATCTTTAAAATTTAGCAAGGTACATAAATTAGAACCGGACAATTTAGAAATTTACTCCAAAATCTAAAAAAAAAACTTATTTTTGATAAAACCTTTACTTTTTTTCACATTTTAATATTACTAAAACCACATTTAATTAAACTGTTGATATGTATTTTTCTATTTTATTTATAGTTACTCCTTGTTTCAGATGATGTAAAGGATCGACGCCGCAGAAGACGCTTCTTCCCTACAGAAGTCTTAGAATCGTCATTGGGAACCTCCGGAGATGACCGAGAAAAAAGCGACATAAACGCCACTGCCTCTCAATCCCAAACTTCTACCGTCGCGTCACCAATCACTGCCTCTCCTTCATCCTTTTCTACTTCGAAAGTAACTACGCCTAAGAAATCCGAATTGAGTGTCCACATGGAGAACGCACGACGTGGTGTCACTCCTGCTTTTTCAGAAATGGGAAAGTATAAGCCGTACGTCAATACCAAACGTGTCGTTACCTCTAGCCCTAAGTCTTCTACTACCAGGTTTAATCCTGATAGCACACAGTCCAGTAATTCCTTACCTAGAAAATCGAGTAGTCCTAGTAATACTAGAGTTATTGTTTCGGACGATGAACGAACTAAAGCCATCGCCAGTCGAATGGAAGGACTTTCCGCTTTAACCAAACAAACTTTAGCACGAGTCGAAAGACTAACAAGTAAGACTAGAGAATCGCCAAGGAAAGATCTACCAAGGGCACACGATAGTAGCAGCAGCCCGATCAAACAAATGGATCAAAAAATGAAACCTATTAAAAAGGCACCTGAAAGGTCTCTGCTATCATCGATACTCAAAAAGAAATCTGTAGACGAAACTCCATCAATTATCATAGAACCTAGTGTCCCAGCTAGTCCTGCATCTGGACCCGTTTCTATATTAAAGAGAAAAGTGTCCCAGGATGAACATAAACAAGACGGAAGCGGTCATTCGTCGACCCATACCCCTCCTGTAACTTTCTCTCCAAATGTTTTAGAACCTACAACGAGCAAACGGAAACAAGGTATCTTGAAAAAACGTAGAAGTCTCGATGAGTCAACTGTAATGAGACATAGAAGTTGTAGTCCCGATGTGGCCAACAAAACAGATTCTAGATCTATATTAAAGAATCAGAGACGTTCTTCTTTAGAAGAATTGCGAAGAACTAGATCACCGGAAACACCCCTCCAGGGTATTTTAAAGCGAAGAACTTCTAGACATGATGAAGATGACCACTCTTTGAACTCTCCACAAAGTATTCTAAAACGAAAATCTGGTGCGAGTAGTGCTGGCTCTACCAACAGTACGCCTCATGTTTCCATTACCACGGCTGTGATTCTGGCGGCTGCTGGAGGTGCTGAAATGGTGCTTGAACCTGAAGCTGATGCAGTCAAACCGATTCTTAAAAAGAAGAGCTTTTCCGAGGAATATTCGCAATATACCGATATTCCTGTAGATGTTCCGAAACCTATATTAAAGAAGAAATCCAGCACAGATACTGACGATTCCGAGGAAAAACCCAAGCCCATCTTAAAATTGCCTAGGACTTCCATCGAACGTGATATCTTGGAATCCAATCAGGACTTTAGACCGTTCAAACACACTTCTTCCAGCGAGACTGAATGCGAAGTCAGACCGATTCTTAAGCAAAACAGTAGGGAGGAACCGGTCAGACAAAGACTGTCGTTCTGTAGTGAACACACTAACATTAGAGATGAACCAAGACCGAGAACTTCCAGAAGATCGCATACTATTTGTACTGATTTTAACGTAGGGGATTTTAATTTAGACACAAGGGAAAGGGATGATATGCTCAATAAACCGAGACCGTTTTCGGTTCACGATTTGGTGAAATCGTTTGAAACCACTTGCTCAACCGGGGCTATACCCAAAAGAAGTAGCTTGAAGAGGAATAGCGATAGATATAAAACGCAGCCTATTACGTCAAATGAGTTAGAGGCCAGGTAAGATCAATTTTGCTATATATTTTTTTTAATCTAATGGGGGTAGTAGAAGTTTCTTTCAATGTAATGGTAGATAAGGGCGACAGATATAGATTTAGGTACTTGTGATCAATTTCAGCTAAAAAATAACATTAATTGGACAACGAATGTTGATAATGACTTAGTTAATGGTTTTATCAATGAATTATGAATATTTACTTCTTATTTTTACAGCTCTATATTTACAGCTTATAATCCTGATCAAGATTATCTTGAGAAAGTTTAAAGTAATCAACTCAAGGTGGGATTTGAGGAAACGTTTAGTTTCTTCTAGTTAGTTTAGAGACCTTGCAGGAGAGAAGGGCAACTCCTACCTTTGAACGAGCTAGATCGACTAACAAAATCACTAATAACTAATAGTTTTCATATACTTCACAGCTTCAAGTTCGTTTTTAAACAATACCCTATCTCACCGTCAGACATTCTAGTAAGTTTCGATATCGTTTCACTCATTACAAACATTCCTATAGACGAAACTCTAAACATTCTAAAAACTAAATACAGTATACAGCAAAACGACACTTATCTCTTCCTATGATGTAAGAAAGAAAGCTTTCTTCCCTACATCAAAGGTGTCACTAACAAAACAGACAAAATTCTTAAATCAAGAGGAGTAAAGACTATATATACCCCCCTAACAAAACTTTCATCTCTTGTCCGATCAATCAAGGACAACATTCCAAATGAACAACACGGAGTTTATAAAATTGCTTGTGCAGACTGCTCCCGATCCTATATAGGCCAAACAAGTCATAGAATCCAAAATAGGATTTATGAACATTCCGTTTGTGTTCACAATTCCGACTCAATTTCATCTCTACGTCAACATCATCTTCATACAGGCCGTAAAATTGATTTTGAAAACTCCAGAACCGTAGCCCCCATCCGCTTTTATAAACCAAGAATTATCCGAAAAGCCATAGAAATTTAAAAAAGGCCAAATTGTCTTAATTTAAGACATGATGGCATATAACCCAGGGAAATAAGCTTTTTTTCGTGACACTTTCGTCTGGCCAGGCAATTGACAGTTGTTTTGAGTATTATGGACCTCTATAACAAGAACCTATGTTTCCTACAGTCGATTTTTTTGACTTAATTAATTATTAACAAAATAAGGTCAAAAAACGGTAAATTTTCGCTATTTTCGTCTATCAGCAAAAAGTAAAGGGTTTGAAACAAATTTGTGAAGAGAAGAAACTTATTTCATATAAAAACCTTCACAATGGCGTTTTCTAAATGTTCCTATACTTATTTGTTGCTTAAAAAGTTGTAAAATAATTCAAAAATTTCGGTTTTTTATAAATGTTAATAACTTTTTTTAAAATAAACTTATAACCTTTTTATTACACATAATGTTGCGTTTTGTGGTGCCTACAATAAGATCAAAATTTCAGGTCGATCGGTCAAAGAGTTTAAAAGTTATTTAATTTTTTATCCCAAATTAAATATTTTGCAACAATATAAGTCAGAAAAATAAACAGTTATATTAAATATACGGATAGATTCTAAAAGAAGAAGATTTATTGTATTATTATATTTAAAAAAAAAACGAGGAAAAATAATTTTAAATATTTTTTCAATTTTTTTACAAATTTAAAAGGAAAAAAGTTGAGCTAGGACACTTTGGGACGAAGTGAGTACCTTCTTTTATCTTTTTTTATTTAACGGCTGGGGTCCCGCAGCGCTCCGTCCTGGGTCCGACGCTGTGGAACCTGGCATATGACGGGGTCTTAAACTGCGAATATGGGGAGGGTGTGACCCCCTTCGCATTCGCGGACGAACTTGCTATGCTACTGGTGGCACTGGACAGGGGGGAACTCTTGCTTCGGATTACGCGTGCGTGTATCCTAGTTGAGGATTGGATGAGTGAGCATGATTGCATGAGTGCGAGCGAGAGTGTAATCAGAAGATGGCAACATGTTGCCAAAAACCAAAAACCGAACAGAATGGAGACGAATCTTAGAGCAGGCCAAGATCCACAGAGGATTGTCGAGCCAAAGATGATGATGATGGGAGCGAGAGTGACGCCCAAAAAGTACGTCAAGTATCTGGGACTTACTCTCCACCAGGGTGGGAGTTGGGGGGAACATTTGAGGGGGGTGACCCGCAGAGCTATTCAGAGAATGGCTGCGCTGGGGAGGATAATGCCTAATATCGGTGATCCCAAGCTGTGTTCCTTTACATGTGCTGGCAGGTGAAAAGGCAAGGATTCACAGTCGTAGGGGGCGGAACATTGGAGAGCGAGAAATGACTGAGACAAGACTGGCCGAGAGATTAGTTTCAATCGGTCAGTGACAACAAGAGTGGGAGGCAACACGTGATGTGGCGGAGTGGACGAATTCACTAATCCCGAACCTTTGAAGCTGGGTAGACTGTGGGCATATGCAGCTGGATTATTATCTAACGCAAATGCTCACAGGCCATGGCTGCTTCTGCAGCTACCTTTTCAGGTTTAGGAGGTCTCAGTCCGATCAGTGACTTTACTGTGGTTTCTCGGATACTGTGATATACACGATATTGGAGTATGAGCGTTGGGCGGATGAAAGAGAAAAGTTTGTAAGAGCGTGTAACTGCAGAATGGTTGATTCCGTGAGAGAAATGGTGGAGAAACTGATGAGGGATGAGTGGTGGTGGACTTCTTCTTCTTAGGGTGCCTGTCCGTTCCGAACGTTGGCGCTCATTCTGGCTATGATGATGTTGTTGGTTGCTATACGAAATAGCTGTGTTGAGGTCTTTCTATACCATGCTCTCAGGTTAGCAAGCCAGGATATTCTTCTTCGTCCTGGGGCTCTTTTTCTTTCAATTTTACCCTGCAAAATGCATTGGAGTAGCTCGTATCTGCCTTGATTTCTCATTATATGTCCCAAGTACTCCAGCTTACGGCTCTTCACAATGTTGACCAAATCCGAGGTTGTGTTTATCCTCCGCAGTCTTCTTCATTAGTGACTTTGTCTGTCCATGGTACTTCAGGATTCTTCTGTATAACCATAATTCAAAGTTGGTGGTGGACACTGATCCACAAATTTATCAGGGAGCTGCTCTCTTCAAAAGAACGATAGGAGAGGGAACTCACAACAATTCTAAAACAACCGAGTAGAATCTCGGTGGAGTTCGGACTGTTGCAGGCCGAAAGAAGAGTAAATGTGAGACAGACGACGCCAGAGAGATGGCAGCCTCGCTAAGGCATGGAGTCCTTGGTGGTTTGTGTGGGTATGGTTTCCTCGATGAATGTGTCGGAGAAAGAATGGGAATCGGGTGTTAGCAGGGCATCAGGAGAGATGTCTGCCGGTTAAGGCAGACATCTTAACATCCTGATGTCTGGTGTGACAGAGGAGAGGTTTTTAGTTGGACGCCGATCGTCTCGGAATGGTGACGGGACGAGGTGTGAAAGGTCTAAATTCCTTGGGCATCTCGCACTGGCACAGCTTCGCTAGGATATTAGGAACCCAACACTACCTGTGTGAGTCACAGGTGTCTGTATGCAGATTTTCCTTCTTTTCTTTAAACATGTAAAAAAGTACCTTTTTTTTATAAATTAATAGCAGCTTTGTTTGTAACAATTAAGAGACCTTATTAGGGTCATCTAAAAGAACATACTTTAAGGTTTGAATGTGAAAAATTCGAAAAAGATTGCATTTTAATGGAATCATTCACAAAGCTTCAAAATTGTGGTCCTCAAAATTGGTCGGCTTTGAAACTAGTGAGAGCGCATGGGAGAAGGAGCTACGAATATGTATTATTTAAATAATTAGGTTGTTAAATTAACCATCCAATTTGTTTAAGCAATTTTTTTTGGTTTTTATTATTTTTAGGTATATTTGAGGTAATTTTTATTGTAAAAAATAAATATTGATTAATGAATATGGAAATTAGAAATATAGAAAGGACAATCAAGGAGAGATAAGAATGGAGAAAAGTAGTGGAAACAGTGAGCTCACACTATAAACTCTAAAACCAAATCCAGAATGGGATGATCCCCCATACAAAAAGGATTTTTAAGTGAAAATAGCTTCAGCTTCTTTCAGCAACTGTCACCCATTTCGTATAACAACCGACTATACTTTTTAGATAACGACTTACGTCATTATCTACGTCAGATATCGAAGTTGACATAGTTGCCAAAGTATAAAAAAATCCTGACTCCATTTTAAATCAAATAGGTCACATAATTATTGCAAAAGTATTACCATCTCTTTACAACGACTATTTAAATTCTTACGTGACATTTTTGAAATAAAACACACTAATTTTATTATAAAAAGAACAGATTTTATTAAATAGGTAAAAATATAAAACAAGAGGTACAAAAAATGTCAACACCGCAACTGTCAAATAAGTGTTACCTATTTATGCCAAAATTTTACCTTCGTTCGATTACAGTTACAGTGTGTTCCGAACAAATGTTCTTGATAAAAACTCTTTATAATGGATTTATACAAATTAAATGAAACATATTATTGTGTATTTCTTTAAGTTAACATTAATAGAAATTTTTAAATATTATTTCAACGCGTATATAATAAAATATGTCTAGTGGCTGTAATGCCAGTGTACTCGGTAAAGTGATTCTAAAAAGAACACACCTAAACCCTAAATATTTCGTGTTGGTATCATATGACGTCACAGGCTATGACGCCGATGACGTGCATCGTTATATAAATTAGATGAAGTGTATGTGAGGATTGAAACACAGTCCTGAATTAACATCAAATGATTTTTTTACTCGAACGTCTAAAATAAATTGTGAGTCCAACGAGTTTCATTAGCAGAAGGTGATGCATTGAAAGCCAAGTTCTTGATATGTCTCAATTGAAATGAAAAAACTATGTTGGAGAATATTTTGATGTATGTTTCAACGAAAACTTTTTCCGCAAATCGCCAGGAAATTTTGACATTCCTGTCAAAATTTCTTGAAGAAAAAGTCAGGACTTCCTTACTGTAAGGAAATGTTATTTCCTTACTGTAAGGAAATGATATTTCCGTACAGTTGTTAGTGTTCTACATAAATGATAGAAAACACATTGCTTATAAGGAATTAATTTATATTTTGAAAACATCAAGTCATTGCTGAATACATTTTTAAGATCAATTTGTTATATTTACAGTAATTTGACAGTTAGTACAATTATTGAACATTGGAGGAACACCCTTAGAACTATGAGAAACATTTTGGACAACATGCAGGGTGAAAGTGTCATTTTGTTGAATATTTTGTACTGTGAAAAT